TGGCTCTCATGACCCCAGTCCACAGTACCTCTGACTCCTCGGGCTTAGTCTGCATTCTCATGTTCTCTGAGTCCTTGTTCAGCAGCTGCTCCTCCGCTGACTCTGGACCTTTCTGGTTCTCAATGGCAGGAGCAAGAGTGGCCCATTGTATGGCATGTATTCCCAGGGGTGTCTCCAAATTTGAATGATTAACACACGTCTGTGGGGGGGCATCTGCAGCCAGTGCATGGTGGGCCAATTGTGTCATTGTTTTTCTGTGTCATGGTAGTTCTCAGTTGAGCAGATGTGGCCGGGGGCTGAGGGCTGGTGCACAACAGCGCTGGCCACCGTGTGGCTCCCCCTGCGCCGGGGGCCCTCCTTCCAGGGGCCTATGAGGCAGGGAGCGAGCTGGTCCAAAGACTGGTACTCCCTGCCCGTGGCTCCCCGTGTGCCAGAGGCCCTCCCTCCGGGGGCCCAGTTCCTGGAGTTCTTCCCTAGGGCTCTCAGGGGAATAAAACTGGAGCACTGGAGTGTAGCTCAACCTTAGGGTTCTTGCCTAGCATGCATGAGGCTCTGGGTTCTATCCCTGGAGGGGTGGGGAAGAGAGAGAGAGGAACAAGAAGAGGAAGAAAAACAACAAGAAGGAGGGTGAAGAGAAGGAGGAGGATGAGAAGAAGGAGGGGTGTAGGGGGAAGAAGGAAAGGAGGAGGGGGGAAAGAGAGGAGAAGAGAAAGGAAGGGAGGGGAAGGCAGGGAAAGGGAAGGGAAAGGAAGGGAAGAGAGGGGAGCGTAAGCGGACGGAAGGGAACGGAAGGGAGGGGAAAAGGGAAAACGTCTGTTTGGCCAACTGCAAGGTTTGCTATGCGGAGCCAACGGCCATGGAAATACCTGTAAACTGTAAAGTGCACACAGCCTGCAGCCCTTACCTCTCAATAAATCTTATTCAGTTTTGCCCAGCACAGGTGTCCTAACCTTGGCATGACGGTTATTTTGGGCTAGGTCATGCGTGGTGGTCCTGAGCATGTCTCTTGTGTTGCAGGATGTCTTCCCCTAGGCCCCAGGAGCACCACCAGGTTCTGGCACTCAAAAACGTCTCCAGACACTGGTAACCCCTCCCTGCTTTGCTCGTGAGGCTTTAGAGCTGTCCCCAGGTTTGCCCTTCGATCTCTTCCTCTGCCCCTTGCACTATGTTTACCAGTTAACAAGTAAGCAAGGCTTAATTTGATCCCATGTTGGACCCTGCAGCCCCACCAGCCCTCTATAAAGACACATTTGCAATTAGCCACGTACAGACTCCAAAGCTTCTCTGGATTCTGTCTGCAGAATCTCCTGGAACAAAACTTCATTTTTAAAGTATTGAACTCAGAAATACTCCTCTTCTCCAACACATCCCTTCCATCTTCGTTGATTAAACCTCCTACTTTTTTTTTATTTAAACCTCCTACTTTTGACACACAGTGTACGATCTTTTTTTTTTTTTTTTTTTTTTTTTTGGTTTTTCTCTGGTACCGGGAACTGAACTCATGACCTTGTGCTTGCCAGGCAGGCGCTTTTGCCGCTGAGCTAAATCCCCAGCCCCTCAGTGTACGATCTTGACTGGCGCTTTCTCTTAGTCTAAGTGGTTTTCCCTGAACTATCTCTCCTCCCCGGCTACTACCTCCGGCCTACATGCTGGATTGGAGGCCACCCCATAATTGCCGTTCCTTTTGCTCCTCACACACCTTTGTTGTTGTTGTTGGGTTCTTAATATTTAGCAAGTGGGGGATGTGGGTATAGCTCAGTGGTAGAGCAGTAAGGAAAGGTAAAAGAAGGTATCCATTTTTTTCAAATGGTACCGAAGCTTATGAAGGGTGATGTGTTCTTTCTTTCCTCTCCTCCTCCTGGTCTCTTTCCCACCCCCTTCCCTCTCCCTCTCCAGGTGAGCTTTCATTCCTTGGGGTCCCCCATCCTTCCAGTTTTCTATGCAGAGGCAGGCACAGTTTTGTTTACTGCTCTTCCACATACTAACGTGCGTGTGCACAGACAAGGCTTTTTCTCTTATTCCATCCACAGCCAGAAACACTCTCCATCCCTAAAGGGTCCTCAAGAAGGCTTCATTAGTGCTCAGCAAGCATGAAAACAGGTGCTCCCTCCAGCCAAAGCCCCACGGGGGCTTCTCACACAAAGCCCCAAACATTCAAACCTCCATCCTAGTATGTCTGATTTTTTTTTCCAAAAAGAAGCAATGGAAAGAAGTAACCCCACCTTAGGGGTGTTAAATGCAGGCAGGGTTTTATTAGGGCTTGTTCAGCTGAACGTTTTTCCCTTGCAAAGATCCACAAATTAATCCTTGGCAGGGAAATGGTGAGAATTATTTTGTTTCAATTTAGTGACTTATGGCCGTTTATAAATGCAGGTGCCCATGCACAAAGAAGAGATTTTTAAAAATCTCATTTAAATCAGGAGCATTTTTGGGTTCTTTCTTTCGTTCTTCTGTTCAGTTCACACGTGTGAATTGGCCCTGGGCGCTCTCGTAGGACGGCTTTGCGTGGAAGGAAGCCATCAAGTTCATTCAGATGCAGATCCTGCTTTTTAAAGTTTTGGATCCTGCTCTCCAGAAGCAAAAGGTCAGTGAGCGCAGATAGAGACCTCTCCGTTGAGTGTCAGAGTACAAGGTGCTAATGGCCGTGAGTGGGGCTCACAGGGGCTGAGTGCTCTCCAAGCCCTTCTGTCTGTTGAGCGCTTCTGAGAGCACAGGCTCTAGTACAAGCTTTCAGCCACTGGGAGGCTGCGAGCTCTAGGCTGAGTGTCCTGCGGGAGGAGTGAGAAGGGGCAGTTTCAAGTAGATTGCCCTGTCCTGGCCAGCGCTGCACAGCATGGTGCCTTGACGGTCGCATTTGTTGCAGTTATTCTGCTTACAGTTCTGTTTTCTTCTCTGACTTTCGCTCTTCAGGTTTGCAGCTCCTGAAGGAAGAATCCTGAGTTATACTGAGCTGCTTTTGCTACATTAGTGCTGTGTAACGGGTACTCCTAAGAGCTTCCGTAGTTTATCATCCTAAGCCGCATTCCAGGTTTCTGATCTTGCTGGAGCCTGCTTCACACTTCAGGGCTCACATTTGCAGTTCACAGAAATGCAAGAGCACAGGGACCCAACAAGGCAAGTTATAGTTTGGAAAGTCTCCTAACAAGCTTTGCCCATTCCTACCACCTTGTCTCTTCCATCCGGATTTCTCTGGTCAGAGCAAATCTTACATCGCCTGGCCCCACATCAATAAGACATGGAAATAAACGCTGCCTAATCGAATGGAAGGAACTACCATGTCGGGTGACTATTACTCACAGAGGGCATGAAGACCTGGGAATGATGACCCATGTCCTCCAAGGACCACTGCTTTTCAAGGGAGAACACAGCGGTGACGTATTCCAGCACGTGACCTCTTGCCGCGCAGCAGAGCTGCAGAGGACCTTGGGAGCTGAACCCGGGTCACCAGGGCGATGCCTGGCACCACTGCGTGGCTGCAGCTGAGGGACCATCACCGCAGACTGAAGACCTGCTCTTCGCATCAGATAAGCGTTGCACTTGCAGGCAGCTCCGTGGACAGGAAGGGAACTACTTCACACTTCCTTTTGCCTTATCTGCCTGTTTATCGCCCTTCTCCCAGCCCATTTTCACAACTGCCTTGCTTCACTAACCTACCATGTTTATCTGACCACTGTTCTTCTCCCTCCCTCTTTCCCTTCCTCTCTCCCCTGTTCATCTCTCCCTCTCTCCCTCTCTCCCTCCTTCTTTCCTTGCTTCCTTCTTTTCCCCCTTCCCTTTTTCCCTCCTTCCCTTGGGATCAAACACAGGGTCTCATGCATGTGAAGCACCCTGGGCCACTGAGTCACACGCCCAGCCCTGGCCATTGCACTTCCGCTCTGCAGTTCCCAGGTGCCTGTGGCTTCCTGCAGGCTGCTGCCCCGTTCTTACCCTGTCCTGGCCGCTGTGCCGCTGTGAATATCAGCCTTTGTTTCTAGGTCTCAAGGATTAAGGAAGGGTTCAAGACCCTGGCTGGGTATTTGCAGCAGCTCTTTCTCCAGAAACTGAGGTCTAAGCTCTGTTCTGAAAAGCCTTTCCTGAAATAAAATGTTTAATAGTGCCTGTTTGCCATGGTGAAAAAAAAATTTTTTTTTGTAGGTACTGGGAATTGAGCTCAGGACCTCATGCTTGCCAGGCAGGTGCTGTGCTGCTGAGCTGTATCCCCAGCCCCTAGCTAAAAATCTTAAATGAATCTACCACCAAGAGAAGCTGATAGACCATAGCACATGCATGCTAGGGCTTAGTAGAACCTCCCACCAGCCCTGCTGTTTTGCAGATAAAGCAAATAAGGCCAAGAGAAGTTGTTGCAAAAGAACCTAAGACCTGGGACTTCTGACTCAACCCAGAGGAGCCCCAGTCTCTCCCTGTCCATTCCCGCTGGGGGCACTACCCTGTGTTGTCACTGAAATTATCATGAGCACAAGAGGCAAGATAGTCACGAACATCTGCAAACATGGTGGGTGTTTGGGGGCCCGGACTCTATTCACACAGACAGTTCCCTAAGTCCACCTACGTGAGCAAAGTAGATGGTCTAGGAGAGGGAAGGCACTGCTAAAACAGAGTTAATTCTGGGCTCTGATCTTTCCAAGGGCCGGGGAACCAGAGATGCGTTTGAGAGACACCACTCACACCACTGATCCCCATTCTCAAAGCAGCCCTGGAGAAAACCCATCAAGGGGGCATGGAGGGGGGGGAGAGGAGCCCTCACATAGCTGAAGCTCATCTTGAAAATGTGGGCTGTCACTAAACTAAGGCTATCCATAAGTGACTGTGTTCTGTTTACTACTGCAGTAAGCACTGGAATTCAAAATTGATGCTGTAATAGGAAAATAGGGTAAACTACCATTTTCCCCACCCTGAGTTTGTCGCTGGTCATTAGTAGGATTGTATCACCAGCTGCTAGAGGGGAAGTCACACTGCTAGGGAAGAAATGTATGTGTACCAAGATCTAGAGGGGATAAAAAAGAGGATGATTTTGGTTTGCTTCTATGAGTTTTTAATTTTTGCATTACAAATATACCTTGTGTTTGTAGTAAGAAAAAAATAAACAAGTCACTTTATTCTGTTTTGCAGTCCTTGGGCTTCATGAAATGCCAGGCAGATGCTGTTCTATGGAGCTACCTCCATAGCCTTATTTTACTTAAAAAAAAACCCAAAACTCCTTTTTCTCTCTTGTGCTTTTTCACCCAACCCAACACCCTCTCACCTGAGGCGCTAACTATGCACGCACCCTGACCCTGGAGTTGCTCCAACCGCCATCTTTCCTGTTTCTTCTATAATTTCCTATATCCCCAACCTTCACACTTTTGCGTTGTCTAAATTCATTGGTGCGGAGGATTTAGTTGAGCAGGGCACCATCAACTGTGACTCTGTGCTATGTCAGGAAGCAGAAAAGCCAGCAATACCACTGACCTGCATCAGTCATTCTGGAGTGGACTTTGGTGTAGAGATGATGTACAGACTGAGGATTCCGTCTCACTTGCAAACATATTTGAAGAGATTTAGGAGGGCAAAGGCCTGATCAAAACTGAAACAGCAGTGGGAGGAAGTTGAGTTCTGGTGACAGGTGTGGGTGGTCACAGAAGAGTGAGCCTGGGCGATGGAGAAGGAGTGCGAGCTGCCGCCAGATCTGCTCCGGTGGGCGTTACCAGGGCAACGGTGGAGAAAGGCATTTAGCCTGGAAGGGCAACCTTGAGGAGCCGGCGGGGACCTCACAGACTTCTCATAAGGTCTCCTGACTCGGTCTGAAAGATAAGTTAGCATTAGCCAGGGGAAGAAATGTTCCTGGGAGTGATGAAGAAATCTGAGTAAACAAACATTCCCTGACCCAGTCTAACTTTGCAGTCTAACTTTGCTTCCTGGGAGTCAAGGCAAAAAGGAAACTATAGCACACTATTTATTTATTTATCTTTACTTCTTGATAAAAAGGACAAGTTTTTCTAGGAGCTAAAAAATGAAACTCTAGAACAGTGATGCTCAGGTTTTATTGTATATAAAAATCTCATCAAAGCCAGGCATGGTGGTGCATGCCTATAACTCTAGCGCTCTGGGAGGCTGAGGCAAGAGTATGGCAAATTTGAGCCCAGCCTGGGAACTTTAGTGACTTAGCAAGACTCTGTTTCAAAATAAGAAATAAAAAAGTGGCTGAGGATGTAGCACAAAGGCCTTGGATTCAATCCCTAGCATCACAAAAAGAACCGAAAACTTCCTTCAAACTTCATTTAAAATGCAACATTCTGGAAAAGACAGTTCTCAGATGAAGAAGTACAAATAGCCAATAAATACATGAAAAAATGTTCAGCATCACAGGCCACTTGAGAAATGCAAATGAAAAGAACACTTAGATTTCATCTTACTCCAGAAGAATGCCTAAAGTCAAGAAATGAAATAATAACAAATGCTGGAAAGGCTGGAAGAGGAGGGGAAGGAACCCTTCTTCATTTTTGTTAGAAATATGAACAGGTAAAACCGCTATGGAAATCAGAATGGAGATTCCTCAAAAAACTCGACTCAGCTATTACTTTCTAGGTATTTTTCTGCAAGAGTTTAAGATATATTACAGAGATCCACGCACACCTATGTTTGTAGCCCCACAGTTCATAATAGCTAAATCTTGGAAGCAGCTTGTATAGTCATCAACAGATGAATGAATAAAGAAAATGTGGTATTTACATACATTGGAGTACTACTCTGGCATAAAGAAGGATAAACCTGAGTCATCTGTAGGAAAATAGATGCACCTTGAGACCATGATGTTAAGTGAAGTAAATCAGACACACAAGCTTAAATACTGCTTGGTTTCTTTTATATGAGAAACCCAATATATTACAAAAATGAAATATGAAAAACAGGCAATAGAAAGAAAATAGAGAGAGAAGAGAGATACTGTAATTCAGCATGGTCAGTATATCTAAGAATATACCTTGATGTAGTACAATTGTTTTATGTGTTTATATTTTGGTCTGTTGATCTGGCTGTCAAATCTGCATTTATGATAATTAATTTGTCAAAGATTTAAAAATAAATAGATAAATTAATCCGATGCTGGCAAAAATAAAAGTAAAATGATGTGAAAAAATAAAAATAAAATGTGACGTTCCTCAGCTCCAGAGATTCTGACTCCGCAGTTCCGGGGTCAGCTGGGGACTCTGCATTTTAATACTCTCCTCCAAATAACTAGGATCTGGGCACTGCCTTCAAAATCACTTTAAAACTATTGTAGTGAAAGGAATTTTTTTCACTTATTCATTTGTTGGCTCATTCAAAACAATACCCAGCCCTCTCCTAGATGCTGGAGAGGAAAACGAGAAGGTCCTGCCCAAGGGAGGCCTGGACATCAGGGGGACCTGTCCCTGTGCCAGGTGGCTGATGTCCACCCAGGGCTGTCTTCCACATGTCCCCCACGCCTGCTGCCCCTTAGATCCCGGTCACGGTGCTCTGCAGCCCTACTCCACGGTAGCCAGGCCATTACTGGCCCCTGGGGACCTTGCGCAAGGTGCCGAGGATGCCTCCCAGGGTCCTCCAGATTCCACATGATCCACTGGACAGCACTTGTCCAGGGCTGGTGGCTTGGATGCAGGGAACAGATTCGAGGCTGCAGACGGGCTGAGCTGCTGGCTCGTGGCCATTTCCAAGGCAGTGGCATTGTGGTCAGCTCCCGTCCTGACGACAGCACCCAGCACATCCTGGTTCCTTCTACTTGACGCCCGCCCCGCCCCGCCCCGCCCTGCCCAGTTGTCTCCCTAGAAAGTTCCCGTGAAGGTCAGGGCAGGTGTGTGCATGTGAGAGCCTGTGTACACATTTTATGAATGTGTGAGTGTGCATGGGGAGGTGTGGGAAGACTCCGTATCCACAGAGACACTTGCCAGGTCAGGCAGAAACACCAGGACCCGGACCCACGATCTGCAACAGCTAGCCTAGAAAACCAGTCCTGGAAGTCGGCCGCTGTGCAAGTTAATCACCTTGGCAGGAAGTTAGATCGCTATCCACAGCTTCCCTAATTGTCATCCCACTTCCAATTTGGGAGAAGCCAAATGTGTGGCATTCGCGAATCGCTACCACCACCAGCCAGAACTTGCCGCTAGTTCCCCATGCGTACAGCCGCTGTTGGGTCACGCCCAAAGGCATCCTCTGTGTCCCCCGCCTGCCCTTGGGTCTCTGCCATAAACGAATGCGAGGGCGGGGCGGCCAACTCCCTGCTCTATCAGTTAAATAGCCGCAGCTCGTTCCCATTTTCCTTTATTCCCCCAGGGTGCACAAGGCATATGAGAGAGGAGGTGGGGGTACATCTGTGTGTGTGTGTGTGTGTGTGTGTGTGTGTTGCTGAGTGTGTGTGCATATCACATCTGGAGGCAGGAATGGCAAGGTTGCGGCAGAAAAGAGAACAGTGGGAAGGGAGCTTGTGTTTGTTGTAGAATGCCACTTCTGGGCCAAGCAAAGTGGTGCAGACTGTACTTCCGGGCTGCTTGAGAGACTGAGACAGGAGGATCGCAGGTTTGAGGCTTCCCAGAACAGTTTCACAAGACCTTGTCTCAAAATGAAAAGGGCTGGAGATGTAGGTCAGTGGTAGAGCATTTGCCCAGCATGCATGAGGCCCTGGGTTCGATCCCTAGTCATGCACAAGAAAAAGAAATTAGCTTCTGGACCTGTTCCCTTAGAGTCTCTCCTCTTTTACGGCCCATGGAATGGGGTGGAAGAAGAGAAGGGATTGCTTGAGAGTCGCTTCTGTCGTGTGAGGAGGCCGCAGGGCATTTCTAAGCAACCGAGTTCCTTTCCTGCTGTGGAAGGCGGACTGCAGGCCTGACAATCACTCGGAGGCGCCCTGCGTCTCCTGAGTAGCACTGAGGCCCTCCCTCCCCGCCTCGAGCAGATTGGAGTTCACTCTGAGCCCAGGTAGCCACTTGCCAGCACCGATGGTTGGCAAAATTAGAACCCACAGAAGTAAATCGCCCTCTCCCTCCCACACGGCCTCCCTGTGAAGTTAACTGCAGCGGACGGATCGCTGGGTTGTCACCATTCTCTGATCAACAATGGTAATTTTCTTCCCCTTCAGATAAAGTTTATCATGCTGAAGGGCCTTACGAAAAGACCCTTAAGCACCGGGGTCAGAAAAAATTACACGCTTGTGTGAGGTTCCTTAGCCACCCCCCCCTTGGTGTACTTAGTGCAATGTTATGATTTACTGTCAAGCTGCTCAACAGCAATGCAGAGCCCACTTGTTGAAACTTTGGGGCGCTGTTTGGCCATGCCCTGGGGCTCAGCTGAGGGCTGCGCAGGAAGACGATCTTTGGTCTGGCCTGACCCCCCCACCCTAGGTGTAGTTTTAAAGTGAAAGAACTCAAGGCTTATAGCCTGGCCCTTGCCAGATGCTCGCCTCAAGCCAGAGAGCCAATGGTGCTTTTGTTGTTGTTTTCCGGTACCAGGAACCAAACTCATGACCTTGCGCTTGCCAGGCAGGCGCTGTGCCGCTGAGCTAAATCCCCAGCCCCCGGTGATGCTTTTAACAGAGCGGAAATGGAGCAAACTTCCGACCCTGGCCCTCTTCCTCCCACGTGTGTGTTCTGGCTGGGGGGACACTCGGACTCCCACTGGACTAACGGCCACCCTGCTCAGCCCTGGAGGCTTTGGAGCCCGCGGTCTATTCACACGCCCGCCAGGCAAGAGTTAGAACAGCTCTTTCTCTGTCGTTTCCAAATCAATCACCCGGTCTTGAAGACATCCATTTTCTTCTGCTGTTCCTTGTGGTCCCCTAATGTGCACGAAGGCATTCTTTATCAAGAGTGAACTTAACTGCCAGGTTTCAGCATTGAAATGCATACTGTAAATCTATGAGTAAGTGATCATTACGTGAATCACCAACCTATTTCTCGTAGATAAGGACTGAGATAAGCATGACTAATGACACCGAGAAGCAACAAGCAGCAAAGGAGAAGGTCGCGGCTGGGTGGGGGCTGAGGGGCTGCAGTCACCAAGATCTCTGTGGTGCGAACTGGCAACTCCATTGGTATCTGGGGGAAGGGCTGGTGCGCACACACATCCCTCTGTCTGTCTGCCCTGGGCAAACGCAAACGCAAATAGGAAACTGCAGTCAGTAGTGGTCGGGCCTTGGACGTGGGCCCAGGGACACAATCCCAGGAGCCGCACACACTGGACACACACACTCTCCCTCCGAAGCGTGCCCTCAGCAGACACCTCCTTGCGGCTCGGTTCCCATGGGTAGGATTTCCACCTGAATTCTACTTCCATCCAGCCCTGTTTTGCTTCTTAACAACCTCCGAGAAGTTTTCTGCCCCACAAGAAAGACAGGTGACATGCCGACCGCCCCTGCCTGCCCTGCCTGGCATATTCTGCTTTGGAAATGGATCCCTGGAGAGATCAGTCCTCTCTGGGGTGCAGAGCTCCACCTTGAGAGGGAGGTTCTTGAGGGAGGTTGTCCTTGAGTTCCAGATGGGCCTGGCAGGGTCCACTCGGGGCCAATGGAGGGGATGGACTGCGCTGGAGAAAAGGGCCTAGCGGTTTTCTGAGGACACAGCCGTCCCTGCTGGCTGAGCCTGGGCTATCCAACACAGCAGCCGCTGGCCCTGGGAGCTGTTTAATTTTTTAAAAACGAAATAAAAGTTCGGTTTTCCTTAGGCACCTTTCAAGGGCTCTGTAGCCAGCGTGCTGGTGGGTACTGCTTTGGACAGCGCCCACGGAGCCGTTTCCACCAGCACGGAGCAGTCTGCGACAGCGCTGCCCCAGGCTGCGAGCGGCTCCGAGACTCCCCGGGTGGGTGCGATCCGGGGAAGCCAGTACACAAGTGGTCCCCGACCTCCAGGGACATCCGAGGGGCAGGTCTGCTGGCCGGGGGCAATTTGGAGAGAGCGAGGCCGAGGCTCTACAGGGCTGGGGAGGTTTCCCTAACTGAATCAGAGCTGGGCGAGCAACTTCTCTTTTGCAACCTTTGCTGGTCTGACAGGCTCTCGCGGTTACATCACTTCCTAAAAAACAGGCAAACACCTCTCCTTCAAGTGAGCACCGACCCAAACAAGCAGGAAACAGGAAATGTGCGCGGCGGCGGCGGCCGGAGGGAGCCCCGCGCAGCACCCCGCGAGCTGACATGAGCGCCCCGCAAGCCGCGCGCCTCAGCGTCCTGGGCCTCGCGCTGGGCCTGGCCGCCCACCAGGGTAAGCGACCTCCCGCTGGCGAGCAGGGTCCCAAGCCGGTGGGCGCCGCGGTTACGGTACGGTCCGGCGGGGCTTGCAGGGGCGGGCACCACCCACAACGCCAGTCCTTTCTCCGCAGGTGGAGAAAATGAAAACTGCCTCTTGGAGGGGTGGAGGGAGGACTTGGCTATCGCTGCTGCCCGGCCCTCGCCCTTGATTTGAACCTTCCGCAATCATTGTCGTCTAAAATGTGTGGATCCCTGTAATTTACCAACTTTAATGGGCACATTAAGAGAACCATAAACTTCTTGGCAGTCCATGGAAAAGAACTTTTCAATTGGTTAGGACCAGAGATCGTGGGTTTTGCTCTTCACAGCGCAGCTGGTTCCAAACATTCTTGGAAAACAGGGGCACAGAAATCTACTACTGAAACGCATCTTAAAGAGAAATCATGAGTTAAAAAAAAGTAAACAGGAAATTAACTGAAGCGTTACCAGGCATCCACTCTCTAACACAGGGAGGGAGAAAGTCCTTTCCTCTGCTTGCCTTGATCTTGGTACTTGGAGAGATATTTCCTTTTCACTGGTTGTTACTGTTGGGAAGTTTATTTATGAGTGGAAAGGTAGTGGAAAAGACAAAGTATTAAATCTGGTTGTTTTAGGCTAAAAGCAGCAGTTGATTTGTTCTCTTGACAGTTGCTGCAACATGCACAACACCTTTGGTTGCCTCTGGAGGTTTTGTTGACTTGCCCTGGGCCAATAAACGTGCTGCCTTGACTTTACCAGTGGAGACAGCCACCGGCCAGCATAGGTAGTCAGTGTGAAAGGAGAAGGACATTTCTCAAGCTATAGTTCTTCAAATAGGATGGGGGGCCCAGGCACTGACGTCACAGATGTGGTGACTTTGGGAGGTCAGCAGTCAGCCTCGACCTCCCCAGTCCACCGGTTGCTTCTCCCTGGTGCTGCCTGCAAAGGGTTCCCCAGGCATTTGCAGAGGAAAATGGAGGGTGAAGGAAGGCAGGGCACTTGTCCTGGAAGGAAGCTTGGTTGGAATGGAGATTAATGTTCAAAATGAGCTCGGCAGTCCCTGTACATTTTTATGCACAAAGTTTCAAAGCTGGAAGGGAGCTAGAAGGGGCTGTGGGGACCTCCTGGGAAAATGTTCGTTAGTTCATCTTTGGTTTCTTCAAGTCCTTGAGGGGGTGCTGCATAAATTAATAACTCACTGATAGCTGATAAATACTAAAATCATCTGTAGAATGGACATGAGGCTCATCACTAAAACCTGATGAGTTCCTAAAAACAGATAGCGTTAGAATGTCAGGAGAAGTCAAAGGTGAAAGCTGCGTTTCTTCCAATATGCTTACTGGGCCCTGGATTGCCAGTGTGTGGAAGAAAGGGAAAAGCTGTTTAATAAAAGTTTATTACCAGCCGGGTGTGGTGGCGCATGCCTGTAATCCCAGCACTTGGGTGGCTGAGGCAGGAGGATCTTTGTGAGTTCAAGACCAGCCTGAGACACAAAATGAGCTCAAGGCCAGCCTGAACTGCACAGTGAGACCCTGTCTCAAAAAGACCAAAAAAAAGAAAGCTTATTACCATTATATTAGTTGAAGATATTCCAAAGTGGGGTCTAATCTTTAATTAACTAGTGTGTATATCTTTTTGAACTAATGGTGTCTAAGACTTCGGGTTAGTATATAGGTGTCACATTTGCGTTTCCTTGAATTCTTAAAATAATACGTGGGGGATGTTTGGTAGAAGAATCCAATCCTTTGAACAGCCTGACTCTCTCGCAAGCATAGTCTGAGACATACCCCAACGTAAGCATCCACTAACAACAAACAGGGAACAATGTATGATATCAGTGTTGACCTCTGAGTCAACACATCTTTTTATATAGACTTTTTATACAGCCTGATTCAGGACTGAGTGACATAGGCTGCTTGCAAGTCACCAGGAGATAAATCAGAACACAGCTTTTCCAGGATTTTGACCAGTAGATGATCATCATTTTGCGGTGGCCAGTGCAGGATCCTCAGAAGGTTCAAGGCCACGTTCTGAAGTGAAGCGTTCTTTACCTTGTTCCCGGTTCCTGTGGGCTCCCCATTCTCAGGAAACTGACAGTGACTCCCCAGGTTCCACAGCGCGGAGTTTATTAGCTGCCTCCAAATCAAGGTTTGAGAAGAAAGCACTGAAGGGCATGAAGCAGAAACAAGGAGTCTGGAACCGCTATGGTGGCCAGGGACAAAGAAACCTGGGAGACGATTTGGAAGTGTAAGAGCTATATAATTCTTGGACAAACTGTGAGAAGGGAAGAATAGAAGGAACTATCAGTTGCATAATTGAAGTTGCTCCTTCTGACACTGTACTGTGTCTTATCTCCGGGAATATGAAGGCCATCTTTATTTTCAGGGACAGTCCCAACTTCAAGTGCTAATAATGATGATCTTAGCTGACATGCCCAGTGCTCCCGATCTGTCAGACGCTGTTCGAAACGCTACCTGTACTAACACGCTGAATTCTCAGAAGCGTGATGAGGTGGATCCTATTATCTCGGTCTTCCTCTGTGAGAAAACCAAGGCACAGAGAGGCTGAGTGACTTGCCAAGGTCTCACAGCGAAGCAATGGCTCTAAGGAAGCTTCCTCGGGAGCCCTGCTCCCTCTCTCTGTGCACCGTACCATTCAGGGTCTTCAGGCTCTGCCAGGCTGTGTGTCCACTTTCAGGCTTGGGAGACCATGACTCGGGCCCCTCCCTTGCTGCAGGTTCCGAGCATCACATAACTCTTGGCTGTGTTTCGTTAGTAACTGTGTTTGCTGTACTGGGCTGACTTCTGGCTGACAGGAAGGGGAATGATGAGCATAGGATTGAACCCCGAGCTCAGGGGGAGGGAGGAGCTGAAATGGGTGCAGACTGAGCAGAGAGGCCGGGATTAGCAGACCTAAGACCAGAAGCAGGAAATGCAGCTTGCTGGAGCGGCTAGGAAAGAGAGCGCAGGATGAGGGAGCCAGGGAGAGGGGCGCAGCTAGGTCACAAAGTCGCCGTGGGGGAGCCCTGCGAAGAGCCCAGTCTGAGGGCCAGGACCCGCAGAGACTAGGAAACAAGAGAAAATTCCACCGAAACAGCAGCAGCAACGATAAATAAAACCAGAACGGGCAGGGAGGGGAGGGGAGGAGGTGGAAAGTCCTTCTGTGTTGTTCTGTAGCTGCGGTTCTGAAGCGAGGGGGGGCAGAAGAGGGAAGATGTGCGCTGGGCTGGGCTCAGTTCTGTAAAGAAACAATGCCATCTGCAACTTGCCTACCTGGGCAGAGTTTGCGCCACCCTGGACGTTGGCAGAGCTGTGGAGAAACAGGAACGGGCACGGTGGTGGGAGGGGTAGCACTGCAATGCAGCCGCTCACCCACTCATCCACTCGCCGGCTTTCGATCTGAGTGATCCGAGTTTGCATTTCTAGAAAGTCCACCCTTTTTAAACACACATAAAGTCTTGGGGCATTGTTTTTAAATTTGGTTGTTTATTCCTTCTTTTATGTCTTTAAGCCTATTATTAGCGATGTGATAGCTTTCATGTGAAGTTGTGTAGCCCTAATCTTGCTGTTTGTTGAACCTGTTAATGTCTATTCATGAGAAAGGTCATGGGGTGGGGACTGAGGCAGTGCCTGGCACACAGAGGACGGCTCACCCCGTTAATGCAACCCTAAATCTTCTGAGTCCATCACCAAGCTACTACCAAGGGCTCTAATCCCCAGTACTTTTGCAGTACAACATCCATTCTGCCACCTGAACTAGGATTTGGAAGACATAGGGACAGGCCGTGGCAGGGTTGAAGAGAGCTCATGGCTGGACATCAGGCTCAACCCCAGCCGTGGGACGGGAAGGGTGGCATCGGGTCAGCCCTGAGAGCTGCAAGTGGAAGAACTGAGACCCAGCACAGGTCCAAGCCCGCAGGAGCCAAGGTGGTCCCTGGAGGAGGAGCCAGAGTGCAGCGATCGCCATAAAGGAGGAGGTTCGGAGGGGAAGAAGCCAAACTGAAGATCAGAGGAGGCCCGGGGATGTGTTTAAGAGCGTTTGCCCAGCATGCTTCATTCCATCCCCAGCGTTGCAGAAAGAAAACGAAAAAAGAGAAGGAAGCAAAAAAGCAGAGGCTGCCCGCCCAGGTTTCCTTAGAGTCGGGATGATGTCACCTGACTTTGAACTCGGCCATTGCAAGATTTTTTTTTTTTTTATCTTGGCTTGGTTTTTTAGCTTCAATTTTTGACCCAGTGTACGGCTACAAGCCCTTCAAAAGCATTGTGTACTTACTTCCTTGGGGGCCCAAATCTTCACATCTATGTTTTAGAAAATTTGCATTGTCAGCTATGGCTTTAGATTTTCATGTTTGCTTCAATTTTTTTTTTTTTTTTTGGTAACTTTTTTTGGACCCCGGGAGTTTCTTTGCTTTCTTGAGATTTTATTATTCATTTAAGAGCTTGCTTCTTATATTTCATGAAGCATTTCTAGGTGTTACACATTGGGATAATTTTCAGGTTCCCAAGTATATCAGATTACTGGAACAGGAAATTTTTCTATACAGTCGTTCTAGAGACAATTTGAAAATATTTAGTGAACTGGAGGTGTTGTTACTGTACAGTTCCAACAATTTACTTCTAGATTATTCACAAATGCACAAAAAAGAAACATGGCTAAGAATGTTGACTATAGCATTATTTGTAAAAATAGAGGGGAAAAAATGGAAGTAACCTAAATTCCTATGAACAAGAGAAAAATACAGCTTCATACAGTCACAGAATGAGGGACCACAAGGTAAGTAAAAGTAATGAAGTAGAGCAACATACATTAAGATTAATCAACCTCAAAAATAATGTTGGCAAAAAATAGCCAGTTGAAGATTATTATGCACAAGCTGGGTGTGGTGCTGTACTCCTGTAGTCCCAGATACTTGGAAGGCTGAGGCAGGAGGATTGCTTGAGTCCAGGGGTTCCAGGCCAGCCTAGATCATGTGGAAAAACCCTATCTCAAAAAAAC